TCCCCAGTCGCATTTTAAGCATGTGACCAAATCYTTTAAGGACACCGTTGATGTTTGACTATCAAAGCAAAGCTTTTTGATTGCATACAATGCATCCACAGTGTTTGAGAAAGAGATGAACTGGACACCAATCAACGTATGGTTTGCACCTCCATTGTACATATCTCTTTTTGTTTCCAGGCACCCTCGGATGAGGGAGGACAACAAGGGACTGGGGCAGAACTCAACTACATTTCCATAGTTAACAAGTAGTAGAAATAGGTTATACTCTGTACGGACCTTGAGATGCAAGCTGAATATATCCAGTAGCTTTTAAGACACAAAAAGATTATTGTTTGAATTGAAACTCAGCTAAGCATAGATATAAACTCCAGTTTTTTTGATTGAGCCACTATAAATCCTGGGAGACAATCGACATAAACGCCATATCTGCATACTTATCATCATGTGATCGACTCTTATTCCCATCTCTTATTGACAAAAATTGCTTAGTGTACGCTCAAAGAGTTTTAGCAAGTTCACCTAAATTTAAGTTTACATTTATTTTGCAAACCTGACTAAAGGTCTTGATGTTCTCTGGATGTTCTGAAGGCAATGACTGAGGTGTTCCTTCTGGATATCGAGGGCTAGCAGTGAGAAAGGTTGAGCCGTGATTGATGCTCATTTCTAACACCTGCAGTAGCACCACGTAAGCCAGAGCAAAGTCTGTCTCACCTGGGAAAATGGGCTCGTAGCAACCATCACAAGCAAAGTTACGTACGGTCTTCAAACTGATCGGATTGCTTGGTGCTTCATTTCTTGTGCGAAGTAGACTTTCGAGCAGTCTTTCATCGTTGAGAAAAATGGGATGTGCTCCACCACTAAGGATTGCTTTAGAAGCTTCCTCAAGAACCTGTTAACAAACAATTGCCGATGCATAATAAATACATAAAAAATTGGTAGGATAAACTTGAAAAAAACTAGGGATATCAACATTTTGACACTAGACTTTTGCTAGCCAATGTTAAAGGAATGTGATGTTGCAAACGACAGATTTATTGAATTGCATGTCCCACCCGTAATCTGGTTGTTTTCTGTTTCTTCATATATTTTCCATTCTATTTTATAGTGTTTCTTTTTTCTTTCTTTTCTCTTTTTTCCTTTTCTCTTTCTTTTTCTCCTTCATTCGATTTCGTGGTAAAATTCAATAAAAAAATAGAAGTTATTGCACCTATACTTTTCTTAGTATCTCTTGCTCGCGATCTTTTTATCKTGTCTTTGTCTTCGATAAAAAACGTTTACCTGTTGGGGTGTGTCTTTATTCAATCTCAAAGACAGGCAAGGAGCATTTAGGGGGAGTCGTCTAGATGMCTTTAGGCACATTAAGGTGATTTCATTGCATCCATCCTCAGCGATACTCGCTTCGTTTGCCTTGTATCCACCAACCGTGATCTAAAGAAAGAAAGACAATTAGATTAATTGATGATTGATACATTTCAGGAGCCCATTACTAGGAGCGTGCATGTACTAAAACAGGGGCGTCACATAGTCCAGTCCCTGGCCTTCGTTTGATTTCCAGTAGAAGTCCAGTCTTGATGATGAGCAACAAATAATGGACGACTTGTCCACTTGTTTTCAGAGGTTGCTTTTTACGAGTCTTGTCTCAGCTATTTAAGTATGTCAATTTTTGCAGAATGCAATTTTAATCTAAAATATCACATTATTAACTAGAAGTCATTCAGCAAAAAAAATTTACACAGGTCGTGTTCGTCGCTCCCGGCTAGCGTTGACTCTCCGGACGACCTTCAGAAGACTCGAATTTATGTGAATATTAACTACTGCTCTCGAAGTCTTTGCGAATCGAAAAATCTATAAAAAGCGATATCAGAGAGTGATAGTAAGAGAAAAGGGTAAGAATTGCTATAGAAATGGTCTAACTTTCTTCATAACTCGTGATTTTTCTGTGAGATCGAAGCGGCTCCACGCCGCATCATTTGATTGATTTTAGATGGTACAGGGCGGGAGCAAATTGTCACGAACCCTTGGAAGCCTGTTTTTTGATAGTTACGTTAGTTTAAAATCTCCTTTGTTAGATCAAGTTTCGTTTTATTGTTTCGAAGAACATTTATGTTTGTTTATTGTTTTCTACATCAATCACAAGATTTGATTCAAACACACACGATTCGTGACAACTCGCGATAGTTGGCAGGAGACTCAAATAATATTTTACCACACTTGTGTAAATTCTCATGTACTGATTGGCTGATTAGAGTGTGTCAATAAGAGGACATGCACACTGTGCTGACACCATCACCTCTCTCTCGCGCGCGCGCTCAATTTAAAGAAAAGAATGATTTTCGCTAATATTTAGACTAAAAATGTGGTAAATATACTATTCACAATTTCACACTGTTTTGAGTTGTATTTTCTCTTATTGACACACTCTTGATGTCATAAAACGTTCAAAACTTAAGTGGAACCATGATCGGAGGCAAGAGTGTGTCAATAAGAGAAAATACAACTCAAAACCGTGCGCAATTTGTTAAATATTCCTCGCGTACCTGTTGCACCCATTGGTTTATAGTATCTCCGTATGGAAATAGTCCCGTACTAGCGTACGTTACAGCAGTGATTCCCCAAGCCTGTAAGCTCCTCAGCAAGCACGAATTCAAATTAACGTGCTCACAAAGTTTGACAAAAAAGCAATCAATGATTTCCTGAGCATCCTCGTTACTAGTCCCTTGAAGGAAAGGTTCCAACAACTGATCGAGTCGACCGATAGAGGTTGGTTCTCCAGTGAGATGAAGACAACAGTGAAAGGAATAAAGTAGCTGAACTGCTTCAACGAAAGTCTCGGGAGGGTCTCTTGAGATCTTGTTAATTCTGGTTTGGACCTGTTGATTTTAATGTCGAAAATTAAATTTTCCAAAGTAAAGTATAAAAAAACCCTAAGGACTCATCCACACGAGTCCAGAGATTTTGTTTGTCGCTGGAGCTTTTCTCTATCCGGATACATAATTATTTGCGTCCACATTTACAAATCAAATACGGGCATTCACACGCCTTCCGCATATATCCAACATTCATCGTGAACAAAATACTTCACTCTGGAGAGAGTTTACACAAATTTCTGGAGGCACTGCAGAGGCGGCATAAAGCGTATACGCTGCTACGCTGGACCCGAGTGGCCCGGGAAGGGGGGAGAGTGGGGAAAGGCTCCGGGTAAAGTACCGGGGATGCTCGTCAGAAAGTTTCAAAAAGGGAACCCCTAAAACAACCCGGAAGTCTTGAAATAAGGGCGTTGCTGACTGATTTTTAACACTTAAGAGATTGCACAACGAATATTGCTACATTAAATCAGTTCCAAAGATAAAAACACAGAGGAAAATCAATGTCAATGCGCTCTCTGCTTTCTTTTCCGAAACCCTAAGAGATGCAGAAAAAGCAATTTTCCTTATCAACATTTATTTACTTACGTATGTACCACTAATTGAAAAAATGTTGCCGGGGTCGCAAAAAGGAAATAATCATGGAATCAACATTGTATAGAAGGTCCATTCAGTGCAGGCAATCTATTGTCACTAACACTATTATAGTCGTRACGTGCTCCCTTTGGGGCTTGGCTTTGATGAATTCAACTTGTGAAACCCGTGTGCGTTTTTTCAATCAGGTATATATGTATATTTTCCTTTTTTATGTGTGTTATTTACCTGCTTAAGACCTTCGCATTGAGCGTCAGAAAGTCCAAATTTGACTTTATTCGCGTCTTTCACGAGGTAACCAGCATAGTAGGCGTAGTTTCTTAGGTACTTCTGAAGTCCTTTAAAAGTAAGTATGCATGCCTGTAAGAAGTCTTTTTCTTCTTGTGACTGAGCATCCTTTTCTTTTGCTTGCATCTCATTCTTGATRTTTTCGATGCCTTTTTGTAACAGTGTCTGGTAGTCTGGTATCACATGGCCCATACCTTTGAATAATTTTAATATGCAGTTTTTTTATACAAGGCTGTATATAAATTCTAGAAATTTCTATGATATTTATATGTATACATCAATCGAGTGCATAATCGGTAACCTTTGCGAACTCCTGCAGTGTATCAGTAAAGTATAATTAAAGTATTTTGCTAGCTTGCGGGCAAAAGGAAAAAAAAACAAAAGATATAAACTTAATAGGCAGTTTATTACCTGCAGTCTCACTTAGCCCTTTGATAAAGGCAGGCATTGTTTCTTCCTCATGAAGATACGGCATAACAGCTTGCCCTAGCCCTAGAGAAAAGCAGCGAGGCATTCGACCAACAATAATTTCATCAGGATGAACTCCAAAGAAGTCTGCCCTTTTGCCAAAGAATTCTTTGCTTTCCAGTTTTCTTTCCTTATTTGTAGTAAACAACCTGCCTAAGCACACCTTGATGGCCCAACCTGATGAATAATGCGAAAACTTCTAGTAGGGATAATAAAAGTAATAAAAATTACACAGCTAGAGCGAATTTCGTATGACAGGGCACACCACACGTACACGAAACCTCACTTGCTAGTGAATATTGCACATATCCCGCGCTTTAACTGCAAAAAAGTACCACTGAAAAATAGGAAATTTCAAAGCACGTAAAAATCGTGCATCATTTTGTTTGTTTTGTTGTTGTTGTTTAAATACATTATGTCTTGACTAAAAAACTAATGTTCTCAATTTCTATGCTGTATGAATGACTTGGTCTAGATGCACAAAAATAAAAACTGATCGAGACGCAAGACATATTGCTGTTGTTCGACCTTTTTGCAATAATTATTTCTTAGATAAATATTTGAGTATACTCTAGGCGGGAACTGCCTTCTCATTAAATAAAAAAAATCCTTGACTACGGGTAAGGAGCATATTATATAAAAAAAATCTTTATAACAAATCAGTC